AAGGAAAATCTTATTACACATCAAAAAATTCATACCGGGGAAAAACCATATAAGTGTAATGAATGTGGGAAAGCTTTTATTCAGATGTCAAACCTTATTAGACACCAGAGAATTCACACAGGGGAGAAACCTTATGCATGTAAAGATTGTTGGAAAGCCTTCAGTCAGAAATCGAATCTCATTGAACATGGGAGAATTCATACTGGAGAAAAGCCCTATGAATGTAAGGAATGTGGAAAATCCTTTAGCCAGAAACAAAATCTTATTGAGCATGAGAAAATTCATACTGGAGAGAAACCTTATGCATGTAACGAATGTGGTAGAGCTTTTTCTCGAATGTCATCTGTTACTTTACACATGAGAAGTCACACAGGGGAGAAGCCCTATAAATGTAATAAATGTGGAAAAGCTTTCTCTCAATGCTCGGTATTTATTATACATATGAGAAGTCATACAGGTGAAAAACCCTATGTATGTAGTGAATGTGGGAAAGAATTCTCTCAAAGTTCTTCTCTTACTGTACATATGAGAAATCATACAGCTGAGAAACCGTATGAATGTAAGGAATGTGGAAAGGCCTTCAGCCGGAAAGAAAATCTCATTACACATCAGAAAATTCATACTGGAGAGAAACCATATGAATGTAATGAATGTGGGAAAGCTTTTATTCAGATGTCAAACCTTATTAGACACCAGAGGATTCATACTGGTGAGAAACCCTATGCATGTACAGTATGTGGGAAAGCCTTTAGTCAGAAGTCGAATCTCACTGAACATGAGAAAATTCATACTGGAGAGAAACCTTATCATTGTAATCAATGTGGGAAAGCTTTCAGTCAGAGACAAAATCTCCTCGAGCATGAAAAGATTCATACTGGAGAAAAACCATTTAAATGTAATGAATGTGATAAAGCCTTCTCTCGAATTTCATCCCTTACTCTCCATGTGAGAAGTCACACCGGGGAGAAACCTTATGAATGTAATAAATGTGGAAAAGCTTTCTCTCAGTGTTCATTACTTATTATACATATGAGAAGTCATACTGGTGAGAAACCCTTTGAATGTAATGAATGTGGGAAAGCATTCTCTCAAAGAGCATCCCTTTCTATACATAAGAAAGGTCACACAGGTGAGAAACGCCGAGTGTACTAAATGAGAGAAGGCCTTAAATTCAACCTATGCTTTACTTAACTTTAAAATACCTTAGCATAAACAGCAACCAAAAAAAAGATCTTCATGGAAAAATTGTAAAGCTTTACTGAAGGGCATAAGACTTGAATAAAATAGAAATACTATGTATGTAGATGGAAAAACCTAACATCATAAAAATGTCAGTTCTCTCAAAATCTGTAGATTTATAATAACATGAATATAACATGTCTAACATGAATTTTCTAGGATCTTTACAAAATTCTAAAATTCATGTGCAATAGACATCTATGGATCACTAAGACAATTTTGAAAAACATTTGAAATATGTACATTACCATATAATGTACATATTTCAAAGTTATGTTATAGTGTGCAGTATTAAAGTTATTAAATAGTGTGCAGTATTCATGCATGAATAAGTAAACCGATTTTACAAAATAGAGTGCCTAGGAAGAAACCAATGAATATATGTGAAATTGGTATATATTAGACATGACATCTTAAATCACTTGGGAAATGAGGCCTAGTCAATAGAAATTATTGGAGTATTTGACTCTATATTGGGGGAAATGAAATTATATACAATCCTACATCATATAAAGAAGAATTCCAAAGGATTCTAACACTGGAATGTGAAAATGCCCAAATCTGAAATTCTTGGAGGGAAATACAAGATATTGCATATGATTTTGAGGCAGGGAAGCTTTTTTTTTTTTTTAAGACAAAAGGAACCTGAAGTTCTGCTTCTGGATGTATATAAAGAAACTCAAACATGCATTTTATTTATATATATACATATATATATGTATATATGTAACATATATACACACGTATAT